AAAATGAAATCAGCATTTTTTTGAAGAAAGGATTTGTTGATGCAGAATGCCAAATTCTGGCATATGTTTGTCTGACTGCTCAGAATGATGTCAGCTGGAAATTTATTAATCCTGTTTATTTATTTTTTTTCACAGATATATTTTTTGAAGTCATGTAATTGATACTGGTAGTATTTAAAAACTAAAATGAAAGCAAAACTATTTTAAAAATAAGGTTAATTGTTTAGTAACAGGTGTTTGTCCTTGTCACCATATATGTGAGTATATAATTCTGTCAAGAGTTTTTTCCAAATACAAACTGGTGCTTCGAATTGCCCTTTTGCTGGTTTTGTTGCATGTTTGCTCACAAGGTAGAATGTATTTGATTAGTTTGAAACTCTGAATTTAATCAAAGACTTCATTAGAAATAAGATTTAAAATATTTTAGTGATGAAATGACAAATTTTTATTACTGATAAGCTGACATTGATGTTGATAAGTCACACCAATTTTAGTAACGTCAGAGTTCAGTCCACATGCTGGGGAATTTAGCAAATTGGAGAATTGGCTGTGGAAGACTTAATCCACTGTATTTATAGAAATAAGTTATTTTCCTACCACAGGTAGACAGTAGAATGAAGACATGAAGAATGGAATACTTCAGAAGGAAGACATTTATGTAGTCAACACTGCATTATAATTTTGTATTTCTTTCTTTCAGACTTTCATAGTATTGAATAAAGGAAAGGCAATTTTCCGATTCAGTGCCACATCTGCCTTGTACATTTTAACTCCTTTTAATCCCATCAGAAAAATTGCGATCAAGATTTTGGTGCATTCATATCCTTTTTTTCTTCATGTTGATTTAAGGGTTGCCATTTAAAACTGTTTAATAACTGGAATAATACTTTGCATATTGATAAACACATCATGTCCCTGTGGGTATACTGTGATGATCACACTTTAAAAGCAGAAATATCACATGTGAATTGCAGTATGATCTTCATTCCTACTGAGAGAATTTTCTACTGAACCTCTTAAGCTGTCAGAGTTTAAATATCAGGCTTTACATACAAAAGGAGACCTGATCCCATACTAAGCCCTGCAGCGAAGTCCAAATTAGTAACAAACCATTGCACTTGAACATATCTAAGGTCAAACTTTTACCAAGACCAGTAGCACTAGTCATGAACTATACTCACTTAGCAAGGACAAAAGAGCATGAGAAAAGAGCTGCTTTTTAGGCATACTTTTTCAGCATTGTGTTTTCAGCACTGGAGTAGGTGTCCCATAAAAGATCCAGGTCAGAATAAAGGAGTATATTTTCAAATACATTTCAATCATGTCCAAAGAACAACGTGGGCGTAAACAACCAACCTCTGCCTAACGATCTTTTAGAACGATCTGCCTGGCTTCAATGAGTAATTATGCTTGGGGACTCATTTCAAATTTTACAGACTTAAGGATGTGTTTAAATTTCATTTAAATCCTAAACCTACCAGAATTATAAAAGTAATTCATTGTTTTACAGTAGCTGCATCATAACATGCCAGATGGCTTACCATTTAAAACAGATAAAATCATGAGCAAAGCTTTAATTTCAGATTTGGTTTAGAATGTCTCATTATTTGTATGTATTTTTATACACTTAATATTTTTAATTATTTCACTGTTACAAAACTGTCAAACTCATGTGACTTACGTGCCTTGACGATAACCTACATTATTCAGCATGCTTATCATGTGCACTATTTTGACCAACTGTGTATTTATGACCATGAGTAACCCTCCAGACTGGACAAAGAATGTAGAGTAAGTTACACATTTTTATTCTTTTTTTTTATGTCTTTGTTTTTGTGATTCCAAACAAGAAGCATTTGTGGAAAGTTACATGCCAAAATAGGCTTTCCAGAATTATGAAGAATCAGATTTCTCAATATCAATATCTTTCTGGTTTCCTCTGAATAATTTAAATGGTTTAGGAGTAATACCTTGTTCTTTAAAACTATGTCTAAGGAATATCTGAAGTTCTACTGCAAAGTATGAACATGAGCTCTCATCCTTGGGTGTTCTCAGCTGTAAATTGGAAAAGGAGCTCCAGAACTACAAATGTCTGTGTAAAATTGTTGCATGCCATTGGTGAGGCCAGCCATATATTGCTTGAGTATCCATGATCTTAACACAGTGGATGTGACCCATTCCTGGATGTGTTCAAGTCTGGGTTTGATGGGGCTTTGAGTAACCTGGTCTAGTGGAAGGTGTCTCTGCCTTGGGACAGGGGTGTTGGAACTAGATGATCATTAAGGTCCCTTCCAACCCAAACAATTCTATGATACAATTCTATGATCTACTGTGGCTCACTGATGTGTGCGTACAAGTGCCAGCTACAGGAAACACATAGAACACCCAAATCACAAGAAACTCAAACTGCTGAGAAAAGGGCCTATGAAGGAGTAAGAAAGAGCTGACAGAAGTGAGGAAACCATAAAGTATCTCTGTGTCTTCTTCTTGTTCATTGTCATACATGTTCTCAAACAGATGTGCATTTTCCTCTGAAGACTCTATTTTTCTTCGAAATAATATAATGAAAAACCTGGCTCTAACCACTTCATTCCCTCTTGTTCTCCAAAAGCCATTATTGATTTATATTTATTTGTTTCACTGCATTAAGGAATCTTACTTTGAATACTATATCTAGAAACTGCACTAATATTTACCTTTTCCCAGTATGCTCAACAGTGGCAATGGCTGAGAGTCTGAAAGGAGACCAGTAGCATTGTAGATAGATTTCGTTTTTTGTAGAGGTCCTCACAGATCCATGTGGATCTCAGGAAGTCCCTGCATTACACTGGTTATAACTGATTATTCTATGTTTTTAAATGAATAGTAGTTGCCACACCAGCTGAATTGGTAATCACCCTCCACATCTTCAAGAATAACAGTCTGGGCACACTTTGCTATACTTAATGATTATTTATGAAATAATCCTGTATTATAAGCATGAATGTAGTTATTATCCAGAACTGATTTTGACAAAACTCTGATTTTGACTTGAAAAATATTATTTTGTTGTAGTTCTTTGTAATATTTGGACACCTGATTTGTGCATGCAGGCCAAGAGGCAGCCCTGTGAGTGCCAGAGAATGTATATATAAAAATCAAAGCCTGAACTGTATCTAGAGTCTGAAATAATTTGCAAGCACAAAAACTGAGATTAAATCTATGTTTTAGAAAATAAATAGTATATATGTGTCAGGTTCAAATTTCAATTACTTAAGTGTTTGGGTCAAGTAAAGTTAACGATTTCCTTCTTTTACTTCTAAATGCTTTTCTTTTCTTGCAAAACACATTTGATAAAGAATGGAACTCTCTATAAACATAAATATGCAAAAATCCATTATTCCTGCTCTGATGCTTTTCAGGTACACTTTCACCGGAATTTATACCTTTGAATCACTTATCAAAATTCTTGCAAGGGGCTTCTGCTTAGAAGGTTTTACTTTTCTGCGAGACCCATGGAACTGGCTTGACTTCAGTGTCATTTTAATGGCGTAAGTGGCTCAAGAATTTTTAAAGCTCTTAGGGTGTGAAATTAGTGGCTAATACTATAATAATAAATATATTTATTTAAAAGTATTTATTTTCTGAAACCTGCGAAGTTTAGACACCATGTCACACATTTTAGTACTCATCATAAAATAATATACGGCAGGAGCTAGTACAGAGTGTTAGCCACTAGTGTAATTACTGCTGAGGGACACAAATTTCATGTCCTACTTTTTTCTGCTCACAAGAATGGAAGCCATCTCTTTGACTTCATGTCACCATCCTATGACAAGCTAATTAGTTTAATTAGCTGTTCAAATACAAATCAGTGAGTTTCACTTCAATGAAATTTAAGCAAAATGATGGAAATTTATAAAAGTGAGGTGTACTGAAGAGACAGGCAAATTTTGAAGTATGACTGCTAATACGCCATACAGGTTTTGAAGACCCACATAATTAGTATAAGCTCTGCCTCAATTCTGAATAACTGTGATTTAATCCTACAGGTATGTAACAGAATTTGTAAACCTAGGCAATGTTTCAGCTCTTCGAACTTTCAGAGTATTGAGAGCTTTGAAAACTATTTCTGTAATTCCAGGTAAGAAGTAGTTGGTGTAAGGTGTTAGGCCCCTCATATCTCCAACTGTTACTTGTGTGCTGTCATTGTGTTTGTGTGTGAACTCCCCTATTACAGATATGTGACAGAGTTTGTGGACCTGGGCAATGTCTCAGCGTTGAGAACATTCAGAGTTCTCCGAGCTTTGAAAACAATATCAGTCATTCCAGGTGAGAGTGAGGTTAAACACAGAGGCTGACTTTCGTTCCATTGAAGTTGAATTCACGTCTTTTGAGCATAAGTCTTGCTGTTCGCTGCTTGTGTTGCCAAAGGAAAAAAAAAAAGAAGGCATGGATCATCAGCCTGGATTATGATGCTTTGCCTTTTCAGATTTAGCTTCTTTTATTTTGCAAAATCAGCCTTTGAGTTTAACAGATTCTTGCATGAAACATAAAATATGAGGCCTATGGGTTATTTTGCTTTGGTTTTCTGCATTTTATCAAAAGAAGTTGCCTATACATTAAAAAAGCTTAGTGCTATGGCTTTCTTGATTTTGAATGTTTTCCTTTATTTTACCACTTAAAATGAACTTTAGTCTTAAAGACAACCAAGTAATAACAAAAGCAGCTACCAAAAAAGAGATAAATATTGCACAGGAAAATTTATCAAATGCAAATGATTTTTTCTCAAAATTACTTGAATTTCTGTCTCACACTATCTTCATACTGTTGTGAAGTCAAAGTTAATATTAACTGGTAACTGAATTATTGGCAGAATATTAAATGCAGAGAAAAAGAAAAAAATAAATCTATAACAGGAAAGCATTATTGATAAAATTTCCTGCTTGAGAATAGCATTATATATCCAATTTAGTGGAATACATGTACATTGTATATTCATAAAAAAGAATCTTTTTCTTTCATTCATCTTCACAAGCTCTGAGGCTGCTCATGAAGCTTTACTTTTTGAAAAATAAAAAATAATTTCTTTTTAAGTGCCTGCATGACATCTTAATTACATGGGAAGGGCACAGATACTCTTTGACAAATCTATGGATCTTTTCTCTTTGCAGGCCTAAAGACTATTGTAGGAGCCCTAATTCAGTCTGTGAAGAAGCTCTCGGACGTTATGATCCTGACTGTGTTTTGTCTGAGTGTATTTGCACTAATAGGGCTGCAGCTGTTCATGGGCAACTTGAGGAATAAATGCCTGCAGTGGCCTCCAGACAATTCTACTTTTGAAATAAACGTTATTTCCTACTTCAACAGCACAATAGATGAAAATGGTACACTTATTAATATGACAGTGAGCACATTTAACTGGAAGGATTACATTGAGGATCAAAGTAAGAATTTCCGATATATCTATTCTTAATATATTGTGGTTATAGTATGTAACTATTTGTGATCAAACAAAGAACATTGAAAACTTATATTTCTGCCTTATGTAAAAATGCTTACAGTCACTGAGATCAAATACATACAATAAAAAAATACAATAAGCAGAAGAGTTCCTAATCAAAGTACAAAGTTACCAACAGTTGCCCACTTTGATTTTATTACAATTTATTTTTATTTTACTTTGTAGTACTTTCAGGTTCATTTGATTTATTCACATGTATTTCTAATGCTTTCTACACAGCTCATTTTTACATTTTGGAAGGACAAAGAGATGCCCTACTTTGTGGTAATAGCTCTGATGCAGGGTAAGATCCTTTCAAAAATCCTCTCATGTTCTGTGGAAAAAGCAATAATATAAAACCTACCCATAGCAGTTTCAACTCCATATTTAGTAGTGTTACAGAACTTACAGAGTTTTGCTGCTAAACAATGATTTCTTACTTAAGTCAAAATATTTTACTCTCTGGCTGAACAAAATACCCATTAACAGCCTTTCTTCCTGCTTGATTGGAAAGTGATGTTGGTGTTAATGATGAAACCTGAACTCTCATAAAATCTATTTTGGAGATGTACTGATTGAAGAAAGTAGGATGAAAGCAAAGGTCAAAACTGAGAAAGAGAATACACAAAATATTAAGAAAGCACAATAGTGGCTTCATAGTTCCAGATGGAATCTTTTTTTTCAAGCCCAGCTCTTCTTCGTTACTGGCAAATTTTGCCATACATATGTGTCCAATTACGAGCCTGGAACTGACAGCTGAACTCCAATACCTAACAGGCAACAGTGAAAAAGCTTATAAAAAATAATAATAATCTCAGCATTATGTGCGAGATCCTTAACAGTGCAATTGGATTTAGCTAATAATATTGTTTAACCTGTCTGTAATCTTAACAGCATTTTAGCAATTATTTCTGCCAGGAAATTCATTTGGAATAAGGAATCTTTTTGCATTTTTGCAAAATGTGACTGAGGACAGTTTAGATATTTAGGTCATTTCAACCAGTGAACGGATGGAAAGGATATCTTTAATTTACTATTTTATTAGTTCATTTCTTAGGACTTTTTTTCTGAATGAATTTAACTGTAATTCATGGCTTTCTTGTTAAAAAAATAATGCATATTATTCCAGAAGATAATAAATCTGTTCTAGAAGAAACAAAAGTTATGACTAAGTACCTCTTGTTTGGTTTTCATATAGGCAGTGTCCAGAGGGATATATCTGTGTGAAAGCTGGTAGAAACCCCAATTATGGCTACACAAGTTTTGACACCTTCAGCTGGGCTTTTTTGTCACTCTTTCGTCTAATGACGCAGGACTTCTGGGAAAACCTGTATCAGCTGGTAAGAAATTTTTATGACAAAAAGTGAACTGTAGGTAACATACAAAATTATATAAATAGGCTTATTTGTACATGAGTTGAAAGCATAATGCTGTTGTACTAACAAAGATAAGTGGCAGAATAGTATGTAGATATTCTTTCTACTCCCTAGACACTGCGTGCTGCTGGGAAAACATACATGATATTTTTTGTTCTGGTGATTTTTCTGGGGTCTTTCTATCTGATCAACTTGATCCTGGCTGTGGTCGCCATGGCCTACGAAGAACAAAATCAAGCAACCATGGAAGAAGCAGAACAGAAAGAGGCAGAATTTCAACAGATGCTAGAACAACTGAAGAAGCAACAAGAAGAAGCTCAGGTAATGACAGAAATTTACTTTCTGAACAGCCTTGTTTTTAAGGCAAGGATAATAATCTTTTATGAATTAGAACATGTATAAATTGTGCAATGAATTACAGAATTTTAGACCAGTGTCTTGTGCAGGTCTGTAAGGAACAGTGATATTGTTGTGATGAAGTCGATGCTTCAAGTAGCTCATGCTATTAAACAATGAGGAGCTATACAACTCAGTTTATCTTCAGTTCAATTTATTTGTGCATATTTGCATACTCAGGGGTGTACAACCAGCAATATTACCACAGTGATAATAAAAACAGTCAGTAAATGCTGTAAAACTGTTCATTTTTGGCCTACTAAGAATACCTTGCTTTGTAACCTGACAGGCAACAGCAGCAGTAGCAGCAGCATCAGTTGCATCAAGAGATTTCAGTGGTGTAGGGGGATTAGGAGAACTCTTGGAAAGTTCTTCAGAAGCATCAAAGTTGAGCTCAAAGAGTGCTAAGGAAAGAAGAAACAGAAGGAAGAAAAGAAGACAGAAAGAAATGTCTGAAGCAGAGGACAAAGGAGATATCGATAAGTTCCCTAAGTCTGAGTCAGAAGACAGTATCAGAAGGAAAAGTTTCCGCTTCTCCACAGAAGGAAATCAACTGACATATGAAAAAAGGTTCACATCTCCTCACCAGGTACAGGACTCTCTTTTACTAAATAATGTATATCTACTCTAATTTGGTTTTGACTGACATTACAACAGCTTTACATATTGGAAGTTATGTAAAAAGTGAGTGAAGGAAAAGAACAGTGTTAGTACTGTTAACAGCATTAAGTTTGATATGGTTTGATCCATTGTATTAGCAAAGCCATAAAAAGAACATAGCACAGATAATTGTAAACTTAATTAAAAGATTTCTGAAAATGTATTTTTAAAGATGTATCTGGTAGATTGGAAGAAGAATCAAGGACTCTTTGACTAGTACTCATATATTTGCATTAATGATAGGTTCTCTGTACTGCATTCATTTCAAAACTATACAAATATGTGGGGGGTTTTAGCAGACCACATGATCAGAATACCCTGCATAGGAAATTCCACACAACCATTAGTTGCTATTGTTTTCCTTAATTAGCTTCTTTAAATGGCAGATAATGAGAAAAGTAACTCCAGTACTCCACAATAAAGACACACTACATAGGATCATTTGGGCTTATAAGAATTTAGTTATACTATTTTTCATTAGAAATTCATTATACAAGATGGAGAATCATTGCAATGACAGAAAAAAGTAGTTTAGGAAGGACTTTTGGAAATCATTTAGTCCAAACTTCAAAGTTCCCTTAAATCAAAGGATCTCTTCCATCACTTGAGAATAACATGCTTATTTCAAGTCTACACACAGTTACGGTATTTGCAGAAAAGTCACTCAAATGCATTCTTCAACACGATCATTGGTCTGAGCCAATAGATGACATGTACCTACCAATACTGCCCACGTTTAATGACCAATGTTTATCCTATTTAATGTGCATCTTATATGTGTTAGTTTACGGACTCAAAACATGAGATTCAGTGGCAGAAATACTTCATACAGAAATACATGCACAGAGAGGAGGAAAGCTTAATTTGAGACAAAGCCTCAGTAATTAGTCAAGTATAAAGGATGATGTCTGGTCTGGAAAGGACACATTTGCATTTCTAAGAAAGTGATGTTTATTATAATCAAGAAGAATGACCAGGTTCTCTGGATAAGAAATAAATAAAATGTAAGAAAAACAAATTATTAAATCTATCTCCACTTCTTTGAGTGATATTGTAAAGGTGTATCTCCAATCTAATAAAATGTACTATCAGGTTTGGGCCAACACTGATCCAAAAAATCTTTCATTAATTGGAATGGGCTTTGAGTCAAGCTGATACAAAGGAGATGCAGCCAAAGATCTCATCTTAGACTCTACAGTTCTGCCTTATTTAGATATCTATGTAACTGTCCATACCACGTCAGCTTTCTCAGCATTCCTCAATGGGTGAAGGGTTGAGTGTCAGTGAGCAGAAGTAACAGCCCAGGCAGATAATCCCCCTATTTCGTGAACTTGGGAGTTTACAGGCTCTGAGGGGCATCCCACTCAGAAGGAGATAGCAGTTGCAGCCCACTGCAGTCCAGGACAGCTCAGAGGGTCTCCCTCTTGGGATCACTATTTATAGGGTCATAAGGTGATTGGCTTCACTCATAAGTAAATTTTCATCCTGGCCTCAATTCTGTGTTGGTTGTTTCAGGCTGTCAGATTTATCATCCCGAAAGAACTCTTGATATGATCAGGGAGTATCCAACCTTCCTGATAGCTGTGTGCCTCTTACCACCTTTGCTAGGCAATTATTATTCATGGTATGGCCAGGAAGCACCCAGCTGTCCAACTCCTTGCACCTGTGCAAAAGCTAGGGCCTAACAGGAATTCTTGGGGAAACAGAGGGATCCAGGAGGGGGGGGGGGGCTAGGGGGG